GTTTTAAATCACTTATAATGTCTGATAAAGACAAACTCAGACAGTGAACTGTGGGGGATTTAATGCTGTTTCTCATTGTGTTTGTATAAAAATCACATTATATCCTTTATACTAAACTCAAAATGAAGTTAAAGAGTAGCATCTCTTGGAGGAGTGCAGGTCACTCACCACGTTTCATGCCAGAGTTTGAGATGAAGATCATTTCATGTTGACAAATGACAGAATTGTAGTCGTTTTAATCACACCTTAAAAAATAATGTTGTGTGCGATATTGAAAAATGTCATGCTCAGAACGTGCTGTGAATGACAAGCTACTATCAAACCAAGTTTGATCAAAAAAAAAATTCTAACCTTTATTTAACCAGGTTAATATGAAAAGAGATTAAAAATCCCTTTTTTAAGACAGACCTGGCCAAGAATGGCAGCAGCACACAACCATTACCACTCATAAAACCACACACATCAAAGCACAATTAAAATACATCATGGTAAATTATAAAGAGAAACAATAGAGAAAAACATCCCAAAAAATAAAATGAGACTAAAATAGAATTCAATAACAGGTCAAACATTTACAAACTGTTTAAGAATGGCCTTAAAATCATTAAAAGAAAAAAAATCTTCAACTTTCAGTCTTTTTATAGTTCAGTCCAGCTTGAGGGAGCAGCAAACTGGATGGATTTTTTTGCCATGATCAGTAAGAACCTTACATACAGTTAATAAAATTATGTCATCCGAACGCAGAGAATAACCTTCTGATGATTTCTTAATGACAAAGGACAGGAGATACGGGGAAGGTAAACCCAAGATGATTTTGTAAATAAGGTTATGTCAATGATAGAACCTGCAGGTAGATAAGGCAGTTCATCCTACAGTGACAGTGGTGAGTCAGGGTTTCAAGACCATTGATAAAATGTAGGGCTCCATGATACACAGAGTCTAACATATATAATCAATGAGAAGACACATGCATATAAATCATGCCTTCATAGTCTACGATGAACAAAAAAGTGGTGGCAACAAGATGTTTTTTTTAGCCTCAAAAGATGGACAAGATCTCATTCTGAAGTAAAAATCCAACTTTACCGTCATCATTTTTTTTCAGATGTTGAATGTGGGGAACAAAGGCCAGAGATTCATCAATAATAAAACCCAAGTATTTATGCTGAGATATTACTTCGATCTGAGAGCTTTGAAAAGAGATAATGCGCAGTAACAACTGTGGATTAGATTTAGGCTTAGTATTATAAAACAGCATTATTTTTGATTTATCAGCATTCAAAACAAGCTTTAAATCGCTCCAATTGGACTGAACCACATTACAAGCTGCTTGAAACTCTTCTACAACACTTTGCACATTATGTTCATAGCACAATAGAAGACAGTGTCATCAGCATAAACTTTAAAATAAGTTTGTGGCACATTTTATCTAAACTATTAATATGGTTAATAAAACGAAGAGGACCAAAGACAGAGCCTTGTGGAACACCAGAGGAAACTTGAAGATGAGTGGAAGAAAGACCTTCCACCTGCACACATTGTGACCTGTAGGACACGTAGTTTTTACCATTCAACTGCTTGCTGCGAAAGTCCAATGTCAAAGAGCCTTTTCATCAAAATTTCTTGGTCAACTATATCAAAGCCTTTTGATAAATTAATAAAAATGTCCGCACAATGTTGCTTTTCATAAAAAAAACCCAATAAAATAATTTACTACTTTAAAAGTTGCTGTGTATACATATGTAAATGTATGTAGAGCTCATGAAATATGCCTCAATTTTGGCTAAATTGCATCAGTTGCATCAGCTTTTACCCATTGTCTATTTGTTTTAATCCTGTTCTAAAAACTCTTTGAGGCAGTCTTTTGTTTTATTTTTTTATTTTTTTAATTCAGTTGAGAATAAATAAGGATAAAATGGGTTTAGAGGCGGGACCAGACTTAGGAATAGTTCTAACCTCATCACATGTCTGACCTTTATTCCTAGAGTGTCAATTGCATTCTATTCTGTCGATGCCAGTGGTCTCCAAATATGTGAATCACCAAAGCATTTAAATGTTGTCCTATAGACCAGGACCAAGGTCTTTATTAGATGAAAGAATAGTTGGAATGGAACAAGTTGGGGTGGCTGTGGCTGAATGGTTAGAGCAGTCGTTCTCCAATGCGAGAGTTGGGGGTTCGAATCCACCAGCAGTCACATGCCGAAGTGTCCCTGGGCAAGACACTGAACCCCTCATTGCCTCTGATGTGTGTCCCATCAGTGTATGAATATGATAAAGCACTGATTAGTCTCATTAGAATGATTTGTTCAATTAGCTTTGTAAAGATCTAGTAGAGTGCTGTATGAATGGGTAAATGAGGCACAGACTGGAGTGTAAAGCACTTTGAGTATCTTGAAATAAGATAGAAAGGCGCTATATAAGTACAGTCCATTTACAAGTTATTGCTGTAAACACTGGTGAACCACTCATGTGAGATAGCTGCTTTGGATGCATCATGTAAGTTCTAGAATTGCGCCGCTCAAGGTGGCTGCATGTTGGAGCAGCTCTGTTACTTTCATTCTGAGATTTTGCTTTTGGAAACTTTAATTCCTGTTTTTCTGGATGTAAATAACATTTTCTGGATGATTGTTTCCTCTGGTATCGGATGTTGTGCAGCTGGAAGGATTTTTACTCAAACTCTTTTAGTTTATGACATTTGTTATGATGCGTAACCATGGCAACAAGGCAGTTTTCTACAACCAACAGAAGCTGATTAACATCTCAAAAGCTCAAATAATATCTCAACGACAGCCCCAAATCTCAAATGAGTTGAAAAGGATGTTCTGTGGACGCATTCTCATCTACCTGCCAGCTGTGCTCGAGTGCCTGACCACTGAGATCCTGGAACTAGCAGGAAACACGGCTCATGACAGCGGAAGGACAGGATCGTCCCTCGGCACCTACAGCTGGCTGTCCACAGCGACAAGGAGCTCAGCAGACTGCTGGGAGGAGTGGCCATCGCACTGGGAGGAGTTCTGCCCAGTAATCAGGCGGTCCTACAGCCCGGGGGAACCGAGAGGCCAGCCAAGTCTGGGTGGACGGATTGGACGGCAGCTGCAGCCAGTTTCTTAGGATCCACTGTGGGATGGACCTTTACAAGAGATCCTTCCTGCCTACAGCCATCAGCATCTATAACATCTCTTAATGAAACAAGAATAATGAGTTACACCAACAAATAATTTCCCTTTGGGATTAGTAAAGTATTTTTGAATTGAATGTAATGTTTATTTCAAGTTAAATTAGACTTTATTGATTTGTCAGTTTGTTTCCTTTTTGATAAAAATTTGTTTGATTCAACAACAAAAAAGCTTTTCTCTGGAAACCAATACTTCTTGATAAGTGTTAGTAAAATTTTCTTGTTCACCTTGAAATGGGCCTCTTAATCCCATACTCTTGCATGTTGAAAAATTAAAACATACCATGGCCACTAACTGCAGTCTCACAATAAAGGCTGCTGACAAAACTACTCTATGCAAAAATTCATGGGGGGAAACTGGTTTTTTAAGTTATCCAGGGAGGTAATTAATAAAATAGAGAACATTTCCCAGCACGTATTGTGAATACATTGTGTGTGTTTACTTCACAACTTGCCAACATTCCTGTACTGATTCTACAATTACAACTTGATTATTTAGTTTTTAGTAGAGGGAGCACCTACAACTAATACAGATTTATTGATAAAACCCCTGCTGAGCCAACGAGGAGATCACTATTTCCAAACTTCCTGCCACAAATCAGAATGCTCTGGGAACATTTTGAGAAATGAGAACCTTCCTCAATTATTGTAGTGAACATAAGCTGGTATGATAATATACTGGTACTTTTTTTTCATTCAACCTTTATTAATACGGGCTAGCCTCAATGAGCCATGAGGACTCATTTACAAGAGGGACCTGTAGAGCTAGGTGTTATGGCCTCACACTGATATAGAGGTATTTTGGGGATTAATTGTGATAATGCACATAATATAAATTATTATTTGTACATCTGCATTTGTACATCAAAGGAAGTTAACAAATATAGGTTTTTCCACAGGAAAGGAGCATTTCTCTCATTCTTGCTTTTGCCAAGCCTGAACTTAAGTGGAAGTATGTTTCAGTTTTGTTTTGTTTCTGCAAGCTGATGCAGAAACTGGCCACCAGTATTACTTGGCATTTGGGAAAGTGTAACTAAAAGACAAGCCTAGCAAACTGAAGCAGGGATCTGAATCACTTTCTTTGGAATTGAAAGACGGAGAAATGTTGAGCGGCTTCGGACGTTATCAGCCCATTAAATGGCCGTTATTAGTTGTTATCATCCCCAAATGTAGCGGTGAAACCTACCTCCTAGTAGGTTTAAAGGTACATTATTATTGTTACTATTGCAGATAACAGGCAGTGTCACACGGGGGTAAACCAGGAAGTGTCTTTTTTTTTTTTTTTTTCAGCTCATGTAACCCTTTTCCTAAAGGTAAGCTTACACCTGACCCAGAGGACCAACTCTAAACTTAACCCCCTTACCCTTGTGCTTTAAGCTAACCAAGACCGTAAACCTAACCGCCAGACCCTTTACTGTAAACCTAACCACGTGAAGCTATTATGAGCGCTAACAAAGGTAAAAACAGAGCCTATTATCATCGCTAACAACATCGCTAACAACATCGCTAACAACATCGCTAACAACATCGCTAACAACATCGCTAACAACATCGCTAACAACGCTAACAACATACCTTTAAACCCACTAGGAGGTACAGGAGGGGCCGTCTGACCGCTATATATGGAGATGATAACAATTAATAATGGCCGTTGAATGGCTGATGACATTTGAAGCGGGTGAACTGTTCTGGTGAAGAACTGTTCTTCCTGAGTGGTGTTCTTCTCTGCAGTGACGGTGAAGCACGTTGTCATATCTACTGCAGCACCAGAAGCAGCTTGCCTCTTGTACATTACCACCTGATAAATTTGTTTATTGTCTTTTAGGTTTTAGCTTTGGAAAGGCAAGTCTTTGACTTCCTCGGTTACCAGTGGGCCCCCATCCTTGCTAACTTTTTCCACATCATCATTGTAATCCTGGGCCTCTTTGGAACCATCCAGTACCGGCCACGCTATATCATAGTTGTAAGTACACCCAACTAAAAATACATTTATCTTTAGTTAAAAGCGTTTCCTACTTTCTTTTTTCTTCCAGTCAGTGTTGCACCTGTCTGTATACGGACTGTCCTTTAGTTTAAACATGTTGTCTTAAACTACAAACTGTGGAAAACTTGTTTGTGCATCGTGTGACACCCTTAAATCAATCTAATCTCCTGGTAATTAGAGCTAATTAAAGAGGGTAAGATCTTGTGGGGGGTGCTAAGTACCTAATCTGATTTAAACTTGGCTTCAAGCTTCTGGACAGAGAAGGTCATTCTCTAAAAGCAAAAAGCAAATCATGTGCTGCCTGCTGTTCACTATACATGCTGCCAACATGAATTTTTAGAAACACACTTATACACACTTCAGTCTTTATCAGACAGCATAACATTTATCGGAGGCATTAAAAACGAATTGTGAGCATCATTAAAAAGACGGACAGATGGCGACGTTAACAGGAAAGGATTGTGCAAGTGAAAAAATAAGAGGGAGTTAATAAAGAGAGACAGCACAGATAAAGAAGCATAAAGGGGAGCCGCACAGGATAAGATGAAGAAAAGGAGGAAGCGAGAGGTGAAAGCAGGGACAGTCGAAGCTATTGTTTCCTGTCAAGTGGAAAATGGGAGGCTGCAAGCTGAGGGGTTTCACAGTTCATAAAAAGTGTTTTTTATCGAGTCGCATGCTTTACCCTTTGCTTCTCCTGTGACATTTTAAACACATACTTCACTCCAGTCAAAGGATTTCACAAGCAGCAGTCACTGGTCAGTGAATACCACCCAGTACCACTCTGTGTCTGTCAGCAGCTGGCTGTCTGACTGTACAATTTTCTAAATGGTTGAGTCGTGAACTTTACTCAGCCTCAGCAGTTTAAAAACCCACAATTCCCGCAGGGTTCAAAGAGACTTACTCAAATTACTGACTTCTTCATGAAAGTAAGGCCA